TAAAATTTATTGTGATTTTGCCCATATTTAATGGAGATTAAAATCAAATTTTTAGTAAATTTTGATAAAAGTTTAATAGTTATGGATTCCATAAAATATGTTATTAAAATTAATTGTTAACTTTGATTTAGATCAAAATTTAGATTTCAATTGATACCAAACATAACTTTAGAAAAAAGAAAATTCAAAAGTTGGTGGGTGGGAGGGGGGGGGGGCATATACCCCCGGGACCCCGGGTCCGTCGATGCGAAGACTTGACTTAAATGGTGAAAAAGTCGAATCCATTCAACCTTTTGCTAACAACTTTCAACAATATGACTAAATGTGATCCCACTTCTATTTGAAATGAGAAAATGAGCATTTTGCATTAGGTTTCAAACAGATATTTTAATTAACAATTGCATATTCAAGTTAACTTGACGTTAGTCGTCAAACGACATCCCAAGAAATTGGAAATAACAATATATTAAATTAAGCTCCCTGTTTGATCAATATTATTTTTTTCATTTTTATTCTTCTACTCATTTTTAACAATACATTTTTCAATAAAATAATATTTTTCATCACATCAATAATTGTTCCTTCATTTTTAACCATATATTCTTCATCACATCCTTTCAAAAAAATGCATTATCTCATTTTAATGTACACCAAACGGGCATTGCTGGGTGTACATGTACCGACACTCACAAACATTGGGGGTGGGATAGGGTGGAGTAGGGTAGGGTAGGGTAGGGTAATATTTTTAATTTTTTATTGAGGTGGGTCCCTCGTCATGAATGCAGTAAAGTCTCTTGTCTTCCCATGAAACACATGTAGGGCATTTGTACATATACAAATGGAAAAACCCAATTGACAAAAAGCAATAGGGAAATGCTAGGGGTACATTGTAGGTGACATAAAGGATAACATAATGTGAGTGAGATGGGTCCCATGCTACAGTATCGTGGGCCCCACCCCCACTCACATTATGTCATCTTTTATGTCAACTCCAATGTACAAGTAGATTAATCCAAAGCAATAATACAAGAAGATGCTTCAACGAAGTCCATTAGATTCTTCTTTGGATAAAAAACGACTCTGCAGTCAACTCCCTTGCAATTATACCACCTAAAATATTTACAAATCTTCGTCAGCTAAATATATGAATAATAAAAAAAGAAATAATAGCGATTCCTTCCAAAGACATAAATATAACAAATAATAGTTAATTATGAATGTGATTGAAATTAAATTAATTTTAAATTTAATGTATAATTAAATAGTCCAAACAAATTTCTCATTCAGACCTACCATTGTTTTGTTTGTTCCACGTGACAAACATTTTGACGAATGTTATTTAGAGTTTAGACGATTGTCGCGTGTTTAGAGTGGTTAGAAAATAAGGAAAAAATTTGAATAATGACAAACCAGGATATACTCCAATGAAGTCGTGGAAATTGCTACCTCTTTTCTTGGCTGTTTCGGGCGAGGGTGCTATATATGCATGTATTTTGTAAAGGAAGAAATCAGTTGAGCCAGAAATTAGCTCTGTTATGGGCATGGAAATTTGTGGCGATGATCAGCATCCAAGCGTCTCAATTTCTTCTTCTTCTTCCTCGTCTTCGGCTCCGGCTACCGAAGTAATGAAGCGCCCTCTTAAGAGAGGTGAGGTCAGTCTTTCTATTTCTGCGATTTCATTTGGGAATGTAGCAGTAATTTAATCCTAATTTTCCTTTAGGATTTATTGTTGGAATTTTTTTTTTGAATAAAATTGTAACAAGAGGTTTCGATTCTCCAGTTTATTGAATTTGTGGTTCACAAAGCTATAACAGCTACTGTAACGTAATTTGGTTTTAATTCAAAATTAATTGAAACCTCCCATCGAAACGCTATATAAGTAGGCGTTCTCCTCATAATTCCACACATCAAACTTAGAGAACTCTCTTAGTTTCTCTATTCTCCCTTTGTTTTCAAGAGATTTGTTCCTAGAAGTATATAATTATTTTCTAGTTTGATCATAGAAATGTAAGCATTCTTAGTTCGCCTAAAGTAGCAACGAGGTGGTAATAAACTACTTTCAACTATTGTATCCTGATAAACAAACGTCATTATTAGAAAGGATATTGAGTCTAACTCAACCTAACAAAATCGACTTGTTAGGAGATGATTGACATCACCTTATTAAGTGGATCGTGTAAATATCACCACCCAATGTGGGACTCTAATACGCCCACTCACGCACATAGCTTAGACCATACCAAACAATTGTGAACAAATCGATATTGGGTGTACCCAACATTACAAAACTGAGCCTGCTCTGATACTATATTAGAAAGGATATTTGGCCTAACTTAACCAAACAAAACCAGCTTGTTAGGGGAGGATTGCCCTTACCTTATTAAGTGGATCGTGTAAATATCACCAACCAATGTGAGACTCTAATAGCCATCATTCTTCTTGCACGCGAATCTATTTTAAAGAAATTGTGTGCTCCACGGGCCTCAATTACTTCTAATATCACTACTACGTCAACAATCAGATTTCCCTTCATTTATTGTTACTTTTCATTATTTTATAATTTCAGCAATATTCCTTATTTCCTTTTGGTATTTTTCTTAATATTTAAAACAGATTTTTCTCAAAGGACGTAGGAGGTACTGGATTTCAAAGAAATATTATTGTATTCTCTCACAAAATTTATAAAATCTTGAAAACTGGAAGTTACAATACAGGGAAGTTCTGTCTAGGAGGCTAGGTTTTAAGTGGGACCATTTGTGACCCCTCCAACCAACCTGATAATTGAATATTTTCGAAAAATGCTAAACTGGTTGAGGCGGGGCTTGGACCT